GTACACCCAGTTGGGGGTAAAGGCAGCTGCATTGTTGAGGATGAGGGAAACCAAGGCCACCAGCACAGCTATAGCCACAAGTTTCTGGACAGTCATAGCTGACTGCCAGTGCTGTCCATTTATCTCGGAGAGAATCCAAAGTCCCAGTCAGCTGTTCTGCATCCAGGGAGAGCCACGATGTTACTAGAGGCAGCTAGAGAACATCACCGCTCATTCTCAAAGGCAGTATAACAGTTCCCACCAGGCACGCAGAAACGGCAGCTGTGTGGGGATGGGGCCATGGGATAGGTCCAGGTGAGCCGTTCACGGCCCTGCCTTATCCTCCCTCCTGCACCTGGAGTAAGGCCAGGCCTGTGCTGAAGCCAGTCGCTGCGAGGCCCATCGTGGGGAAGAAACAGGGGCACCAGCAAAAATCCAGAGTTGAAAGTATGTCGTCGTTCTGGGAACCAGATGCTCAGAAGGCCATAAACACGTACCTCTTCTGTCTGCAGCAGCGGAAAACAGAAACTAACTCAAGAAGCAAGCACAGCGTAGGAGTTGGACCGATCACGCTCCTTAGAACCTGCTGAGGGAGGCACTCTGAGCAGGGCCACCAGAGCAGTACAGGTTCAGCCACCTCTCTGCTGCCTGGCCCCCTGTCCTGGAGCCTCCACCACGAGTGGTAGGTCCTGGAAAGCAGAGCGCCTGCTGCAAGGAAGTGTGTGTATGTGTGTGTGTGTGTGTGTGTGTGTGTGTGTGTGTGTAAGCTCGAGTTTCCCTCTGTCTCTCAGCCAGAGGAAATGGTTGTTTTTGAGGCTGTTTTTGGTGAGGGGGAGGGCGTAGCCAACTGCAACAAATAGCAGCCCTGCCACAGAGCCAGACACTAACAGGATGTGTTTCCTGATGGGAAAGGCCTGGGGAGACTTCTCAGGCCTGCTCCACCCCCCATCAGACCCCCTCCCTGCCTTCCTGTCCCAAAGGAGAAGCCAGGGATGCCAGCTGGGACACTTGGCTCACCTGTCAACTTCTAAGCCTGGCCAGCTGCTGGGTTAGGGAGCTGGGGATGCCACAGACACCATAGGCAGTCAGGATCCTGAGGAACCAGGTGCCCAGCCATCCAGGTGTTCTTTCTGTGCATTAGGTGCGATGAGCCCATGATGTACCAGAGCCCTTCCTCACACGGATTCTGCCTTCAAGTGGGGAGATGAGTGCTGGGAGGGAGCGGGTGGAGCACAGTTGAGAGGCATTGCTTAGGCATGCCTGCCAGCAGAAAGTCACGGGCCTCAAGCGAACAAGTATACCCAGCCCTGACAGGGCAGGGCCCCCCTTGAAGAACTGGCTGGGGTTTGACCTTGGGGTGGCAAGAAGGGTGGGATTCTGGACATATGGGGGTAGGGCACCATGCAGGCCCTGAGAGAGAGCACATGTAGTTTTTGGCTAGCCATACTTGCTGCTGCTGGGATGGTCACTCCTTTGAGGTCACACTGGGCTGTGGCCCAGTGTGCTGTTATGCTGCCAGGCCAAGTTTAAACTACTGAAAGCTGGAACAACTCCTTTCTCAGAACCTTTCAGTGCTGGAGGATAGACACTGCAGAGGGTTTGATGCTCTATGTTCTACCTGTGGAGATACTGACACAGCATAGGGCTTCCACACTACCAGGACTCTGAAGCTATATTAATAAATAGAGACATGGGTGCCATATTCCATCTACACTGTTCTCAAGTGCAGGCACTCAAGATGTTATTCAGGTACAAAGAGTTCTGTTGCCAGTTAGGTGTAACCTGGGTGGTTACAACATAGCCTTCTGATCCCTTCCTGTCTTCGTGCACTGCCATGTTGAGTCCTGTTCAGGTGGCTGTCCTGAAACTTACCCCCCTCCTGACTTCCTGGGGTCACTGTCTTGTTTAAAGGTGGCTCTACATGTCACATGTAAAGTCAGGCTTCCCATGCACAAGTTTATGTTCCTGGAGGGCTGGAACTCTATCTCTGACCAGCACTGCACCATTCTTTGATCATGAGAAATGTCTGTCCATCAATTCCCTGAAGGAATTTATGTACAGATTTTAGGGCCTTTCCTGCTGCAGTTTGTAGTAGATATCCAGCACTATCTTTCTACTTTCCCTTCTTCAAGGAAGTTGGTGCTCTGCTGTGTTCTTTTGTTCCAGCCTCTCTGTAATCAAGTTCTCAGCTCTAGAAATTTGCCAAAGAGTGCAGAGCACCATGGTGCTATTTGCCCTCTGCTTACCCCATGGCTTAGAAGACCCTGGGGGTGGAACATCTGCAGTCATTCCAGCACACACACACACACACACACCAGGCATATTTGGAATGCAGTGTCTCCAGCACTCAACATTCCTAAGCACACAGTGCAGCAGATGCCTTTAAAAAGGAAATTTTCCCATAAGTTTCCATTAGGAGAGATCAATTTCCCTCCCTAATTAAATCATTCTTCTTTATTTAGTCTTATATGGTTAATTTTCAGTGAGGAGCAAGCACAGAGTTTCAAAATCCAGAGGATATGAGACTGTCCCAGACATAGCCCTTGGGCTAATCTACTTGTCTTTTCTGCAGCTGAGAAAGGGATGGGGTACGAGACGCCAAAATCTGGCTTCTATTCATAGAAGGTGGCCAGTGGTATCCTCATGCATCCCCAGGTGGCACCCTGGATGTCCCAGTGCATAGTCACCAGCATTGGCCTCCCTGCGCTTTCGGGGGCTCCATCAGGCTTCCAGGTCCTTGTGCTTCTAGTGTGGGAGGCTGGGTACAGGAGAGCAAGGAAGCCAAGAGCGGAATATAAGTTAGGAAGGCCCCTTCCTGAGGTGTAATGCTGTCTTCCAGAGTATCTGAAAGTCTCATGTGACCCCTTGGCACAGAGCACATATTCAGCAGACCTGAAGCCAGGCCAGGGGCTTCCATCCCTCCGTGAAGCCCCCTTTCTATCCTTCCTGCTGTTTGCTGGCTTTGGCTGTGCCTTGTGGTCTGACTGTAGCTCCTCAATGTGCATCTAGCCTTCCCCACTTGGACAAACAAGGAGCATCACTCAGAGCAGAGAAGCAACAGGGACACTAAGCAGAGGCAAGTATGCTGTAGGCAGATGGTCAGGCTGCTAGTTCTCTAGTTTCCTGCTGTCCTGACTCAGGACATGTCCAACCAAGCTTCTGCAGAACTCGGATTCTTCCAGAAGCCAGGACCATCTTGAGGCTGTTCCCTCCTCCTCCGCAGCATCTGCTTCTCATTTTAAATGCCTGGGAGCTGATGAAATGCAGATGTGATTGCTTTCCACAGACTGGCTTGGACAACAGGAAATTCTCAAGACTTGGACAGGACTAGGGAGGGGGTATCTGCTTCTTGGAATGTATGTCAGATTCACAAAGCCCAGAACTTCACCCTGGAGTTAGAGCCGTTCCCGTTCTCGGCATGTTGTGTGTGAAAAGAATGTCAGGAATTGCGTCGGGGGCTGAGACCATTCTGGGTCAGGAGGGGGCAGCTGCTAAGAGCACAGCATGGTTTTGTGGAGGGAGTTTGCAGCTATCTCTTTGGGTCCAGGCCCTTCCAGCAGGCCTGGGCTTATCTGAAAGAGAGGCACTGCCCTCCCTGTAGTTTGTACACAAGGCCTCAGTCCTGTCCTAGCATTTAAGGGGCCTTCCCAGCTCAGTCTGCCTGGCTGGGGGGCTGTACTTCTACTGCATGCTCTTCAGAACCCTGGCTTGATGGAGACTTTCATTCCCAGTGGAGATCAGTGTCCAAATAGCAGGGCATCTTGTGACATGGACAGATCTTAGTCACACACACAATGCCAGGGAGATACAGTGAGTGACACCAAGCCAGGTCTCCAGGCCTCTTGTCTCCCACCTCCTAAGAGGTCAGATACTGATGACAACCACAGCCTGCCAGCAGGAGAGCAGACAAATGTCAGCCAGCTCTGCCTACTCAGTTCCCTGGTCACTCTGCTTGCTTACATTTTTGTCTGTGATCAGACACAAACATGAAGCATTCACTGTCGGGACAAGGCAAAGGAAAAGAGACATACAGAGAGACAGTGAAGAAGCCAGGCCTCATTCCCTCACCCTCACAATGGATCCTCAGGAGACAGTTAATAAAAATCAAGTCTTGGCCGGGTATAGTGGCATGCACCTATAATCCCACCACTCGGGAGGCTGAGGCAGGAGGATCACTGAGTTCAAGGCCCACCTGGGCTACAAAGTGAGCTCAAGGCCAGCCTGAACTGTATAGTGAAACCCTGTCTCAAAAAGGCAAAATAATAACAGTAGTAATAATAAAGTCTTAGCTGGGCATGGTAGTGTACCCCTATAATCCCACCACTCAGGATGCTGAGGCAGAAGGATTGCCATGAGTTTTAGTCTAGCCGAGGCTACACAGTGAGTTTAAGGCTAGCCTGAACTATAATACATAGCAAGACCCTGTCTCAGAAAACCAAAATAATGCTATTTGTGAAATGAATACACATGCCTCACTCACTTAGCTTGCACTGCAGGCTTGGGAGGGAGGCCATGAACCCCAGCATACCCACAAATCCAGGGTACCCACAGAGACTCTTTCTGTTCTGTACATGAACATAGAGTTCTATAGAACCAACCAGAGCTGTGCATGACACTGAGTATTTCACTTGAGATTCTGGACTTAACACTGGACCCCATGTGCTGTTATTAGCTGAGATCTTAAGGACCAGTGATATCTTGGAGAACCCTTGTGCCTTTGGTTGATAGATGTTTCACAGGATCCTGGCTAGTGGAGGGGGCAGCTTTGGGCCAATGAGAAACCATCAGCTTTATACCCACAGCTCTTCCTCATGCATTCAGCTAGCACCTTAGGATGGAGAAGAAAGGCTTGATTTGGATTTCTGCTTATTTAAAGAAAGGAGGAGAAATGCTAAGACCAGGATTTTGTGCCTGAAGCCCTTTGGTAGCTCTGCACATTGACAGGTTGTTGAGGGAGAAGCGGGTGGAGGACCAGAGTGCTGGGCTGAACCCTTACAGGCCCCTGTGTCCTCTGTCTGCAGTGAGGCTGTCTGGGAGAACATGGCACGCATGTGTGTGAAGACCCAGCGGCTGGACGTTGCCAAAGTGTGCCTAGGGAACATGGGCCATGCCCGTGGGGCTCGAGCACTGCGGGAGGCTGAGCAAGAGCCAGAGCTGGAGGCCAGAGTGGCCATGCTGGCTACACAGCTAGGCATGCTGGTGAGTGGGATAGACACTGCCCCAGAGGGTGGAAGAAGGAAGGTGCACATTCCCACCACACCCTGAAGCTGATCCTGCTGAAAAAGTTGCAGATACTGCTGCACAGATCTTCTGCTGGGTTTGGGGGCAGAGGCTGGAAGAGCTTGGGGGCCAGCAGATAGGAGCAGAGGCTGGCAGATGGTGGGTAGAGGTGGTTGCTGAGCTTCTCAGTGTTCTGTGCAGCCATGGGGTGGGAGTGGGGTGGGGGGCAGTGCTTCTGAGACCAAGGTGTTGCAAACAGAGACCCCTTAAACTGTAAGCCAGAGGGGGTAGGGCTGTGAGGAAACCCTGAGCCACTGATCTCCCTCCTCCACTTTGTCAGAGATCACTGCATGCTTCTCTGTCAGTGAGGTCCACAGAGGATGACATACCTCCAGGAGGCATAGGCTGGGGGCCCAGCCATAGGCCACAGCATCACCTGGCTTGTTGTACATGTGGGCAGTGGTGGACAGACACTCCCAACTCCAGCTCCAAGAAGGAGGATTGGAGGTGCTGCCACCCCCACCTCTGATGCATGTTGCACACTCCCCAGAGGGCTTCATTTGTCGGGGAAGCACAGGAGTTCCATGAAGACATGGCAAGGGGCAGGGGCTCATGAGAGATAGACCCAGGTCCCAACAGTCAGACCTCTGTTTCATAGGTCTCACTCTCCATCCAAGCAACAGGAATGTCATGTAGCTGTGTGGCTCTTGTCTTGAACACATCAGCCTTATGCAAGGTGTCCACATGCCCTCGAAGTATCTGTATATCCTTGGTGTGTGCTGTGAATCTTTTTCAGGAGTTCATGGTGGAACCTTCTCCTGTGCCTAGAGCTTTGAAGCACAGTAGCATGCATGACAGGGTACCTGGTGGCTGTCACCTTCCCTGCTAGAGCAGTCTTTCTCCAAAGCCCCATGCCTGTGTTACCATAATGCACCTTTCTCTTTTTAGGAGGATGCAGAGCACCTGTACAAGAAGTGTAAGCGCTATGACCTCCTGAACAAGTTCTTCCAGGCCTCAGGCCAGTGGCAAAAAGCTGTGGAGGTGGCTGAGCAATATGATCGTGTGCACCTGCGCACCACCTACTACAACTATGCCAGGCACCTAGAGGTCAACAATGACTGCAGCCTGGCCCTCAACTAGTGAGTGGCCATGGAGGGGCTGTGGGGTGGGCCTGGATACCTCTGCCTCACTGAGGTGGCTAATGTGGTTCTCAGGGGGACCAGCATCCTCCTCAGTGAGGAACTGTCTAGGGAACTATGGGTTCCAGGATGGAGCAGAGCCAAAGATGTAGACAGCCTTCTTGTATCCTGGCCGCAGTGTCAGAAGAACTGAAAAACAGCCATTCTGCTACCATATCAGCTGCTATGGCAGATTAAGCTGGAGGACTCTGCAAGGACACAGGGGCTACCTTGGGGCCTGGCCACAGAGAAATCCCTCCAGAACAGGGACTGTGCTTAGATCCATTCCCACAATTTAGATTTCCATGCTGTCCCTGACCACAGCCCACAGTCTCCAGAGCCACTGGCCAGGAGCAGTTGCTGAAGGCCACTGCTCTGACCTGATTCTGTGACATAGCCTTTGATTTGTCCAAGATGGGTAGGAACGAGGTCCTCTGGTCTTCTTTCACAGCTATGAGAAGTCGGACACCCACCGCTTTGAGGTGCCCAGAATGCTCGCAGAGGACCTGCAGTCCCTGGAACTCTACATCAATAAGATGAAGGACAAGTAAGTGTCCCCAGTGAGGCAGCACTCTGCAGTGGTCCTGGCATGCTGTGGTGGACACAGACCCCTTCAAGCCCTGGGCTTCTCCCTGCCAGTCTCTTGCATCTCCCTTGCCAATCTGAGGGTTAGTAAAGGCATCATTTCTGGTGGGAGGGAGACCCTGAAAGAGACCCTTCCACAGGACACTGTGGAGGTGGTGGGCCCAATACTTGGAGAGTCAGGCAGAGATGGATGCTGCACTACACTACTACGAACTGGCTCAGGACTACTTCTCCTTGGTCCGTATTCACTGCTTCCAGGGCAACATTCCAAAGGTGAGCACATCCTGCAGGACCAGCCACCCAACTGAGTGAGGCTGCTGGGTGGAGACTAAGCCTCCTGAGTCTTTTGGGTCTTTTCAGGCTGCTGAAATAGCCAATGAGACTGGCAACTGGGCCGCCTCCTATCACCTCGCACGACAATATGAGAGCCAGGAAGACGTGAAGCAGGCAGTGCGCTTCTATATGCGAGCACAGGCCTTCAACAACGCCATCCGCCTGTGCAAGGTACAGCAGGGTAGCCCCTGGCAGTGCCACCAGGTCAGGGGGCAGATAGTACCTCCTGGCTGTTCTCAAGGTTTTATTAAGAGCATTTCAAACATAAGATTGAGAGAATTATACTGCGAACACTAGGGCACCACCACTGGTTTCCACTGCTTACTCCTCACCCTACCTACTCTCCCCCCATCCCTGCTTCTTCCATCTGACATTGTTTGCAAAGCACTGAATCATCACTGCATATGTACACTGTTCAGGGCTCCTGAGCCAGTAGTAGGTTGGCTCACTGCTCATGAGCTTGCAAATAGGCAGACCTTACATAAAAAGTCCAAAACGTCTTTCATTTCAGGAAATACTCTGTGTCATATGTTTCTTATAGTACTCTGTGAAACAAAACTAAAAGCATTTGCACATCTGGTTGCAGTCAGAAAGACATAGTGCTCATTCAAAACCAGAGTGGCACACATCACCTGGCAAAACACCAAACCAAAGGGAGCTGAACTGTCATCCAGGTACATTCACATATTCATCAACGTAAGTAGGCTCAAGTGCGCCTAGCAGGAACTGCCTACAGAGCCCTGCCTCTTCCCCTACAGGAGAATGGCTTAGACGATCAGCTAATGAACTTGGCCCTGCTGAGCTCCCCAGAAGATATGATAGAGGCAGGCCGATACTATGAGGAGAAGGGTGACCAGATGGATAGGGCAGTCATGCTGTATCACAAGGTAATGAGACCTGCAGGCAGCCCTGGAACCTGAGTAGCAGGAGGGCAAGAGGCCTAACCTTTGCCAGGCCGGAGAGACCCAGTTGGGTGGATTCTTGGGCCCCTGGAGCTTGAGCAGCTACTCAGAGTTTTATGCTCTCCACAGGCTGGTCACTTCTCCAAGGCCCTGGAGCTGGCCTTTGCCACCCAGCAGTTTGCTGCCCTACAGCTCATAGCAGAAGACCTGGATGAGAAGTCAGACCCTGCCCTCCTATCGCGCTGCTCAGACTTCTGCATCGAGCACAAGCAGTTTGAAAAGGCTGTGGAGCTGCTGTTGGCTGCCAAGAAGGTGCAGGACTGTCAGATGCAGGCCACACACTCGGGCACCCAGGCTTCAGATTGGGGACACTCTACTGTCTCTCTTGGTTTTAGTTTCTTGAGAAAGGCTGTCCCTCTTCCCTGCACTAGAGGAAAAGGGCACCTGAGAACAATTCTGTGTGTACAGCACACCAGTACTGATGAGTGAGGGCAGCTTCCCACCAACCTCACAAATCTTCCAGTCCAACCAGGAAGGTGATCTATGAACACTCCTGTGTGCACAATGAAAGGCACATAACATAGGATTTCCCATCTTAGCTTTTTTATTTTCATCTTTGAAACAGAGTCTAACTATATTACCTTGGCTGGCCTCAAACTCCTGGGCTCAAGAGATTCTCCTGCCTCAGCCTCCCAAGTAGCTAGGACTATGGGTGTGCACTACCACATCTAGCATAACCATTTTTTTAGGTCTATAGTTCAGTAATGTTAAATACATTCACATTATTATTCATAACTTTTCCACTTAGCAAAATGAAACTAAACATTCAACAACTACCTATTCCTCCTCCCCTAGCTCTTAACAATCCGCACTTGCTTTCTCTCTGTCTGTGGATCTGACTCCTGTAGGAAATTCATGTAAGTGGGATTTGGCTTTTTGTGTCTGGCTGTGTTCTCTCGGCTCATGTTCTCCAGGTCTCTCTGCATGGAGCAGGTGGCAGGACTCCATCTCTTGTGAGACTGTATGCTGTTCCATTGGCTGGGTACAACATGCTGTGCTTGCCCACTCATCACAGCTCTGTGTGAGCACTGCCACTGTAAACACAGTGTCCTTGGGGCCCTGCCTTTCATTCCTATGATATTTATCCAGGGCTGGATTCACTGGATCAAATGGTAATTCCGTTTAATTTTTTGAGGAACTGCCAGACTTTCCCCAGCAGCTGCACCATTTCACATCACTACCAGCAGTGTAGAAGGCTTCCAGTTTCTCCAGAAGCTCACCAATACATAGTCTGTCTTATTTTGAAAGTAGCCAATCCAGTGAGTGTGTACTTCGCTCATCTTTTTTAGGTAAAAATTCTCTTTGATAGAAACCTGTTGGAGACATGGAAAGTGTTAAAAACATTCAAGGTTAGCCTCCCCATATTGAAGGCTCTTTTGTTCTGCAGCCAGAGGTAGGTGTGCATTTTGTTCCCTACTACTGATAAAGGAATCCTTGCACCAGTGAGAAGATACGCCATGTCACACACACATAAAGGTCCTTCCCCAGGCAGCCTGCTGACTTCATCCAACCCCAGGAGGAAGACCAAAAGGGCTTGCTAACTGGATGCACAGACTCTCTAGATTCACTGAGAAAACTTGGGTAACTCAGAATAACTAAGAAAAATCAGAAAGAATAAGAGGTTGCAGAAATTCATGAACAGTGAAAGCAATTATATTAAACCTAAGACAGCTGGAGTCTGGTACAGAAACAAGTGTCTAGGTCATGAGAAATGTTAGGAATCCAGAACTGTTGCAGCTGAACCACTCCTCATGTGATGAAGGGAACTGCATTGCAGTAGGGAAGGGCAGGCTACCCATGCATGGTTGGTACCCCCATGTAGCCATTTGAGAAAAATAGAGCTGATTCTCTGCTTAACTCCTGCACCACAGCAAATCCCAGATAGAGCTGAAGTGCAACAGCAAAGCAACAGTTCCTCATATAACATCTCAGACAGTCTTGAGGGAGCTAAAGATTTTTCTAAGTATGCTTTAAAGCCCATAGGTCATAGTGGGAAAGACTGATCAACAAAACACAGATGTGCAAATAGCACTCAGGAGACTGAGGCAGGAAGATTGTGAATTCTAGGTCACCCTCAGATACATAGCAAAACCCTATTTAAAACAAAAAAGTGGAAATACTTGATGGGAAAAAAGAAACCACTATAAATAGAGCCAAGACAAATTGTAAAATGGGGAAAATATTTTTTACCTAAATCCCAAAAAGTGAGCTTCTTAATATTTCTTAAATGCTTACTAAGATAAAATTTACCGGGGCTGGGGATTTAGCTCAGCGGCAAAAGCGCCTGCCTGGCAAGCGCAAGGTCGTGAGTTCGGTTCCCGGTACCAGAGAAAAACCAAAAAAAAAAAAAAAATTTACCAACAACTCAAAAGGGTAAAGAACGATCTAAAAGGAAATGCTGGTTGTTCTTGAATATAAAAGACTTACAAACCTTATTCATAACAAGAAAAATACAGATCAAAAGTCAAGGAGGCCAGGTGTAGTGGTACATGCCTATAATCCCAGCACTCGGGAGGCTGAGGCAGGAGGATTGTCATGAGTTAGAGACCAGCCTGAGCTACAAAGTGAGCTCAAGGCCAGCCTGAACTGCATAGCGAGACCCTGTCTCAAAAAGACCAGAAAAAAAAAAAAAAAAGAAGCCAGGCATGATGCTGCAGCCCAGCATGCAGCCCAGCATGCAGGAGGCTGAAGATCACAAGTTTAAGGCCAGATTGGCAACTTAGCAAAACTCTGTCTCAAAAGAAAAAATATAAAAAGGAGTAGGGCTACTGCTCAGTATGAAGGCCCTAGGTTTAATCCCCAAGACTGAAAAAAAGACATTATTTTCAGGAATTGGTCCAGTAGGTGACTAGTTGAGGAATCCTATGAGAGTCTGGGGAAGCATGCATACCTCAGCTGCTGCAGGGTACAGCAGGCAGCACCCACCACAAGTGGAAAAGACACCTCCCTCTCTCTACCTAGCTGTCTCTTCCCTTAGAAATGCATCTTTCTTACTCATTTTGTTTTGTCATGCTAAAGACCTAGCATCACAAGGGCCCCATGGTTGGAACATGCCTTACTCCAAACTATGTCCCCAGCCCTGGAATGCTTCTCCAGATTAAGGTGCACACAGGACATGCTCCACATAAGCGTTTGTAACAGCAAAAGATAGCAGCCTCTCTGTTCATGAACAGGATGAGTTAAATACTCAGTGGTTCTTCTGTATCGTGGAATAACTATGGAGCAGTCAGAAAGCTCATGTATTGACAGGGAGTGACCTCCAAGTCAGAAGTCTTTAGCAAGACATCCCGAAGATCATAAATTTTTCTAGACATGGAGGCACATGCCCTGTAATCCCAGCTCTTTAGAAGGCTGAGACAGGAGGACCACAAATTCAAGGCCAACTTGAGCAACTTAGCAAGATCCTATCTCAAAATTTTAAAAGGGGGGGATATAGATCAGTGATAGACCACTTGCCCAGCATGTTTGAGACCCTGGGTTCAGTCCCCAATATCTAAAAACAAAACAAAATTATAGATAGATGGATAGATAAATAATTTTTTTTAATAGTACTTGGGATTAAACCTAGGGCCTTTGCACTAAGCTATATGCCCAGCCTATTTTTTGTTTTTCTTTTAAATTCAGAGACAGGATCTCATTAAGGCATTAAGATAGATATATAGATATAAATGTAGTTATAGGTATATATATTCTTAAAAGGGGTTATAAAAAATTGACAGTTTCCTTTTGAGAAACAAATAAAAAATACATTCTTTTGAGATCTACAATGTTAGTAGCATGAGGGATGGTCGCATGAGTGAGATTGTCCTTTATGCTGGTGAACATGAAGTATCCTTGTCCCTCCCACAGCTGCCCCAGCTGCAGACTGTGGCCCCTGTAGAGTCCTGGAATTTGGCTTCCTCCAAAGGGCGGCAAATGGGATGTTAAGAGCCTTGGGACCTTGGCCTCCTTATCAGCCCACACTCCCCTGTTCCCTGGCACTCTTACAGTATCATGAGGCTCTGCAACTGTGCCTGGAACAGAACATGACCATCACTGAGGAGATGGCAGAGAAGATGACTGTGCCCAAAGACTCCAAGGTCCTGTCTGAGGAGTCCCGGCGTGAGCTGCTGGAACAGATTGCCAATTGCTGCATGCGCCAGGGCAACTACCACCTGGCCACCAAGAAGTACACACAGGCTGGAAACAAGCTGAAGGTGAGGGCATCCAGGCCTCACATGCTCCTCCCTTGGTCTCTATGGTGAGCCCAGGTAGGGGTGAGCCTTCTGGTCACGTCTTTGGAGGGAGCCCATGGGAAGTGTGATACGCAGGCCTCTCTTGCCTGCTCTTCTGGTGAAGCCAAGCATGGGGCATAATATGTGGAGGTCATCCTCCTTTTGCCGCAGCCAGTTGAACCACCATTCTGCCAGAGCTCTTCCAGGTCCAGCCCTGCTCTCCTGACCTGGCTGTTTCTGTCCCTAGGCCATGAGAGCACTGCTCAAGTCTGGAGACACAGAGAAAATCGTATTCTTTGCGGGTGTCTCAAGGCAGAAGGAAATCTACATTATGGCTGCCAACTACCTGCAGTCCCTGGATTGGCGGAAGGAGCCAGAGATCATGAAGAACATAATCAGCTTCTACACCAAGGGGCGGGCCTTAGACCTCTTGGCTGGCTTCTATGATGCCTGCGCCCAGGTATGGACCTCATGGGGATTCCACCAGGACCCTGGGGGAGGATGGTGCCCCCTCTCCCCTTCCTGGCCTGATGAGTCTCCTCAGCACAGGTGGAGATTGATGAATATCAGAACTATGACAAGGCCCATGGAGCACTGACTGAGGCTTACAAGTGCCTTTCCAAGGCCAAGGCCAAGAGCCCCCTGGATCAGGAGACCAAGCTGGCCCAGCTGCAGAACAAGATGACGCTGGTGAAACGGTTCATCCAGGCCCGAAGGTGTGTCCCACAGTGCAGGGTGGAGGGCAGTGGCAGGCTGGCCTGAGGGCCCTCTCTGTGTTCACCCTCTGACTCACCACTCCCCTTCATCACTGAGTTTGTGTCGACTGCAAGACGCCAGACCAAGCTTCTGTTTCCAACCAATAGTCTTTAGGGAATCCCTCAGATGGGAAGATTGGAGCTTAGGCCCCTCACTGTGCCCTGAGACATGTCTGAGCTCCTGGGGGAAGCTCCCTTGGAACCTGGGCACAATCTTGGGAAGACTTTCACAAATACCCAGAGATACTGAGATGCAGTATAGGAGGGGAGGAGGAGGAAGATTTGGGTCAGGAGGTATGTCTGAGGGGAGCCTTGGACCTGATCATGCATGCAGGTGTCAGACAGAGTCATCTCAAGAGAGGGGCTGTTGTGTAGCACAGTGTGGTACAGACCCTAGGGACCTCTGCAGCAACTGCCTGGCTGCGGGCACATGGAGAGGGGGGGCCCAGGCAGGTTATATACATTGTCTCCATTTTTAATGGGATACTTTGGTTTTTTGCTTGTTCTGTTTTTTGAGACCAGGTCTGGCTATATCACTATGTAGTTCAGGTTGGCCTCAAACTCATGGTAATTTTCCTGCCTCAGCTTCCCAAATGCTGAGATTATAGGAGTACACCACCACACCCAGCCTGATACTGTCTCACTTTGCTCACTGGTAACTGAGCATGGTGGTCACCATGACATGAACAAACATCTGTGCATCTGTGGGCCACCTGAGCTCAGCTTCTGCCCAAATCAGCAGGAGTATTTTTCTATGGCTTTCTAAAAGAGTTCTAAAACTGTGGGGCAGGGTAGCACACACCTTTTATCCTAGCACTTCAGAGGCTGAGGCAGGAGGATTACTGTGAATTGGTCAGCCTGCACTACAATGCAAAACTGTCTCAAAAAAAAAAAAAAAAAAGAATTCCCAAACACATTAAACATACATTGTACAGAGTGTGCTTTTGTGTGTGAGGGAGGGTAGGTTCTGGAAATAGAACCCAAGGCTTTCATACTGAGCTACAGCCTCAACTCGTATTTTTTTTCTCCCCTACAGACAGGGTTTCACTAAGTTGCCTAGGCTAGGCTTAAACTTGCAGTCATCCTGCAACACAGTGCAAGGATTACAGGCATGCATCTCCACACTTGGCTGTTTGGTTTTTTTTTTTTTTAATAGTACTTGGGATTAAACCTGGGGTCTTTGCACTGAGCTATATGCCCAGCCTATGTTTTGTCTGTTTTCTAAATTTAGAGACAGGATCTCATTAAGGCATTAAATTGCCCAGGCTGGGTTTGAATTTGTGGTCTTCCTGCCTCAGCCTCCCAGAGTGCTGAGATTACAGGTGTGCTTCACTATGCCCCTATCCTGAGCAGGCTCCTTGGAGGAGAACCTGGCCATCTGGGCTCTACAGTCTGCATCTAACAGATGTCTGCCCAGCCCCAGCTGCAGGAAGCAGCCCAGTGGGTGGAAAGGAGATGTCGAGGGTCAGGGTGAGCAGCTTGTCAGGGTTAGAGCACGGGCGGGACAGGCTCCTGCCTGGAGTAGCTGAGGCAGCATGGCTAGATGGGCCCTGGACCCCCAAGTAGGAGCTTAGCCACAGACACTGCACCTCATCGTATGTGCTGGCCTATGCTCTGCCAGCACATATGTAAGGTTCTTCCCAGATGCCTTGGGCAAGGTGGCACAAGTCCCCTGCATGAGACTCTTCGCCCAGAGATTTCTGTCTCTCAGTTGTGTTCCCTGGGGCAGAAACTGCCACTGCACAGGACCTGCCACTGCAGGTGGTCAGTGTGTTTTTGTTAAATGAATGAACAAATTAACTGAATAAATGAATTTATTCACAGATGCTGTCTTCAGCCACTCCCTAGAGCCACTGTTGCAACACTCTGTGTTTGCCTCTGGCATGTTTTGGGTTCAGGCTCAGGCCTGCTCTTTTCTCCCTGCAGGACCTACACAGAGGACCCCAAGGAATCCATCAGGCAGTGTGAGCTGCTCCTGGAGGAGACAGACCTGGACAGCACCATCCGCACTGGGGATGTCTATGGCTTCCTAGTGGAGCGCTATGTGCAGGTGGAGGAGTATCAGATGGTGAGAACACTCTGCTGTCCTGGGGCCTGAGTCCCTATCCTAAAGGCTCAAACCTGGGGTCAGCAAAGACTATCAGTTACTGTTTTCTTTGATGTTACAGATTTATTTTGGGTTTTTTTGTTTGGTTGGTTGGTTTTTTGATACCAGGGATCAAACTCAGGATCTAGTGTTTGCCAGGTAGGTACTTATGCCACTGAGCTATATCCCCAGCCACACCAGACTCCTTTTGTTGACAGGGGATCTCCCACACATGCATGTCGGAATGCCTAGTTTATCTTGTACTCCTTTTTACCAAAAAAAAAAAAAAAATTCCACATAAAAGCGACTCAGCTCACAACTTGCACCAATATTCATCACTGTTGCCACCATTTGTGTGATGATTTTCCTTAGCCATGCTGGTGGAGTGTAGTGATATCACACTGTGGTGTTTGGGTACTGTAAATTGAATCCTGGGCCTCATTCATTCTAGGCAAATGCTCTCCCACTAAGGTACACCTCCTGCCCTTTAACTTAAGACAGGATTTTCTAAATCGCCCAGGCTCTCAAACTTGCCTTAGCTTCCTAGGTAGCTGAGATTATAGGTATGCACCACCTCATTGTGGTTTTAATTTACACTTCATTGGCAACTGATGTTGCGCATCTTCTCATGTGCTTATCACCCCTTTGAATGTCTTCTTTTGTGAAATATTTAAACCTTTCCATCATTTTGGGGTTCTTTAAAAAATATGTTCTAGATTCATTTCTCTTACCAAATACATGACTTGCAAATATTTCCTCCTAGACTATGAGGAAGTCTGCGTCTGTTCCTTCTCTGTTCTCTTCTCCTGGAATCGCAGCTACTTTGTATCTGGTGTCCCCCTAGTTCAACTCACACTCTTCTCTTTCACCCACTATTTTATTCTTCATGTTAGGTAGTTTCATATTCCATTCCTTCAAATTCCCACTCTTTCCTTCTGTAGTGTTTATGCTGATATTAATCCCATCCTATTTTTCACTTCAGACTTTACAATTTACAAGCAGGGTCCAGCTGTGTTTAAGTGTGCACAGGCCTTTCCAACCGGAGGTACTTTTCTCACCTCCCAGTCAGCTCTTCACTCTTCTCTCCTCCTCAGTGTTGGCTCTCCTTGAATTCTGCTGCTAGAAAGACCCCAGGCCCTCCCCAGCTTCTGCTGTCCTTGACCCATCCTGTCCTGAGCTCCTTTGATCTGTGTCTCATGCACCTAGCACAGCGTTAGCAGCCTGTAAAATGTCCAGGAAACCTCTTCCAGCACAATGTGAGACTTGTGCGGGCTCACTTAGCTGTCTTACCACCCCTGGCAAAAATCTCTGAACATGGTTTAATGGCTTGATGTTGTCAAACATCTGCCATCTTTAGTGATAACCTGTCCAAAACAAAATTGTCCTAAGAGCTTTACTATCCTTAAGAAATACTAAGATCTAATAATTATTGTTTTAAAAAAAATTTTTTAATTTAAATTTTAATTTTTTTGGTACCAGGAATCAAACTCAGGACCTTGCGCTTCCCAGGCAGGCACTGTGCCCCTGAGCTATATCCCCAGCCCTAAAAAATTGTTAAAGCTGCTTGAAATTTTGGTCACATTCGAAATTTTGGTTACATTCTAAATTCTTGTGCACTCTGGGCTATACAACATCCCATTCCACCCTCTGCATTTGTGTGTGGTCCTCTTTGAGGATAAATAGGTGTGAGCATGTCCTCTGCAGGAGGCCAGTCCTATCCTGTCTCAAGACCCACTTTGAGATGCTCTGAGCACTACCCCTGTGCCCTCCTATGTATTCCCACTGGCAAAACCAGAGAAAATCTCACAGGAAGACCATTTATGATTCCATAGTTTACTGGCCTAGGATCAAGGACCATTCATAAACTTGATGCTCCATTAAAATAACCAAGACAAACCATTACTACCACAGCTTTCCCTCCATTCTAACAAGCACATGCCCAGACCAGATAAAAACACAGAACCCACTTTTCCCTTAGTGGGTCTCTGTGCAAGATGAGCAGGTTCTAAAAGGCCCTAGGACTCAAACCAGGATTTTGCCTACTGGTTATAGTGAACCAGTAGTTAGTTATAGTGAACAAATATGATAACTCTATCGGTTCTTGTGTGGACTAAACAGGAGAACCATGTGGTTGTCATGTTTGCTGGACCCCCAAGTAACCACTGTCACCTCTACCCTAGGCCTACCGGTACCTAGAAGAGATGCGGAAGAAACTCCCTTCTGCCAACATGTCGTATTATATAGATCAGCGGACCATGGACACCGTGTACCAGGCCCTGGGCCTCCCTCTGACGCGCATGCTACCTGAGCGGACCCGCCACAACAGCATGGAGGACCAGGAGGAGGTGGTGGAAGAGGTAGACAATGACCCCTGAGAGACCTCAGCCCTTGGCCATATGGCCTGGGTCCTGCTGCTGCTGGGAAAGCTGCTTCTGGAATGTTCTAGGCACCAGTAGTAGCAGAGGCATCTTTTTTGTTGAAAACTTCCATTTCTGTATTGTCACGTGTAAGCAGGACTGGAGGAACAGCGGGGAACACTGCTCTGTCTCATCGCAACGTACAAAAGGAAGACTACCCCGTATTTTAAACCATCCCTCTAATACTCCTGCCTCTGGCAGTTGGGTGGCTCCCATGGATTTCTGATTCACTTCTTTTGAGGGGACTTGGACTCATCTTTTCCATGTTTTCCCAACTACAGCTGAACCTTGGGCTTGGTACCACCTGTTATTGCTAATTGTACATACAAGGTTACTTGACAGTTCCTAGCAGGGACCACTATAGCCAGGCCTGAACCCTGACAGCTGTGCCCTTTGGTCACCAGAATGGGGAACAGGGACATCAAGCCCCACCCATTGGCTGCTGACACTCCTGTAACTCCAATAAAGCCTATTTTCTGAGACCCGTGTCCTTCCCCACTGCACCTGAGTCTGTGTAGAAGCTGACATCACCCAGTGAGAACCACAAAGGAAGGCTTCATGACACTGCTGCCCTATTTATTCTCGTAGGGACCCAGTGATGAGATGCCCACAAGAGGGCAAAGCTTGCTCTGCTGGTCCAGCACCTCTGCGTAAGGGTATTGGGGGCTCTGAACAAATGCCTCCTCTCCTCCTGGGGCTCGCACTGGCTCTACCCTTGAGAGAAGATTTTCTCGGTCTGGTACCTCCAGCCCAGCTCTAGTCCAGCATTCTGGCTGCCCTGTCCTATGGGAGGCAGTATGAGGCCCTGCCAGGCTATGGGTAGCTCTAGGGGTGGGGTGCAGACCTTTCTGCGTGTACATACAGTACCCCATCATCATCCAGACCTCACTATATTGCAGAGCCCAAAGGCTGCCCCAGTTCCACTCCTTGGACCCTCTTATCTTCCTGATGGCAGTGGTTCAGCTGGGCCTTGGATGGTGGGAAACCTAGATGGCTAATGAGAAAGGGAAAGGAGCCTGTCCTTGAGTCTCTCCAGAAGCAGCAGAGCCCTCACTGCTTGTTCTCTGCAGTCCTCATCCACATCCTTCTCAGCAACATCTGCCAAGGTAAGAATGAGAAGCAAAAGAGTAATGCTGCAGGCATTGTGTCACCTCTCCTTTCACTGAGGCCTTTCCTAAGGTTTTTCCCTCATACCCAGCAAAGGGTTCTCTACTGTGTCCCTCCATGGGCCCTGTAATTGGCCACCTGATGTAGATGCCTCCATCAGGAGGGAGGAGCCCAGCAATGGGCAGGTCACTTGGCCAGCCTACAAGTCTGCTGGACACAAGTGTGAGGAGTTGGTGCTGGTGCCTCCACCATCAAGCCTCATATAAGCACATGAAAGAGGAGCCAGGGCCTATGCAAGAGCTTGGAAACTCTCCCTCCAGTGCCCCTTCTGCAGGCTATGGTCACAGAGGCCAAACCCTAAGGATTTTGCAAAGGCCCACCTACCACCCAGCAGTCATATGTTAGCTGCCTGGGAAGACCAGATGGAAGGGGGCTTTGGGGCCTGGAATCACAATCTGCCCCATGGCTCTTAGAGGATGGGACTGCCATTCAAGGCCCTCATCATGGTCTCAGTCCTGGGATCCTGGAGAGCCACCAGGAACTCAGCCACCAGGAACCTCCACTGGGGCAATTACTTCCCACAGCCAGAATGAAACTGCAGTCTAAGCAAGATCCCTTTAAAATGGTCATCTGTGCCCAATGGTGGTGCCTTCCTGACACTGGGCCTCCAGGTCTAGATATTCTATCCATGGGTCACAGGGTAAAAAATTGGCTTCCCATTGGCCTAGCTCAGGAACTTAGAGGGGAAGGGTCACAGTGTCTACAGCTACTTTAAAAAGAATTATATCTGAAGGGAAGGGATAAGACATGGCAAAACATTCTACTGGTGAACTTGGGTGGAGGTTCCAGGCATTCTTCAATCCACATCACCTTCTGGGTTTGTGATTCATCAAAGTGACTCCTGCAGCATTCCCCAAAGTGACCATGACAATGGATGCCTCCATGCTTCTCAGTGCAAGCAAAGAGAGGCACACCCATTCAGACTAGCTGGCCCACACCTGGGCTGCTCCAGCCACTTCACATGCCCTGATGACCACCTGCCCCTGCTGACACAGCCTGGGCCGACACTTACCTGCCAGCCAGGACCTGGCTTCCAGCAGCTCATCAGACAGATCTCCCAGCAGTCGTTCAGCAGGTACACTGAGGAGGACGGAAGATACTGCAGACAGCAGGCCCCTGCGCACATAGCTACCAAGCAAGAAATGGGAAAGGTGAGGTGCAGCTTTGGAATGGAGCTGCAAGCTGGCACTGCTGGAACCACAGGGACAATACCCTGGGTCAAGGAGACCTCCCACCACCCCTCCAAGTCCAGCAGACCAACCAGCAACAAGCACACTTAGTCCTGTATTCTCCTGGCCACTGGGCCCGCTTTCTGTTTAGAAAGGACCCTGGAGATCCCACCCTGCCCCCAGCCCCACAGGCCACTCACATGTCAACATGGAACCTAAGGGCCCACACAAACTCCAGCAGGGCCTTGCCCATGGACACAGCCACCTGAAAGCAGAGGGATAGGTGGACAACATGTCCACTATGCTTGTTCCCCACACCTGGCACCCCATAGGTAGGCTTCTGTGGCTTGGTGGCCACAGGGCCTGGGCTCATGTGAGCTAGGGGTTGTGTTGGATTCCCTGTGGGGTATCCCACAAGCCTGTCACCAGGACCCAGGCTGAGGGAAGGATGAGCTCCAGATGTGCAATGCTTCATGCATATTGGCCATTCTCCCTCCCAGAGCAGGCCACAGCAAGCTCAAGCCCTACTGTATAAACATTCAAGGTAATTTCCACACTCCACTGCTGCAAATACAACATGGCAGGGTCTTCAGCTCCCATATCCCAACTCACTGTGGTGTTAACAGCCAGGTACATCAAGGCCCCTAAGGTGTGAGTCAGTCTTCCAAGAACCAACTGGTCATCTCCCAAAAGATCAAAGGTCACCAGAGGCCTACAACACAGAATCAAGGAAACACTGCAGCCCCAGTACCTCAGGGCTGGCTGCCTAACCTCTCAAGCTGCCAACGGAGATCCTAGGGCTCTGGAAGCCCTCCTGCAATCATCACTGTAGCCCCAAACTGCACCAGAAGGGCCAGGAAGAGAAGTCAGGAATTCCCCTTTCTCCACCATAGCCTGCCAGCAGGCAAGTCCAGCTCAGCCTGCCCAGGTGGGAGGAGGTGAATCACTGGGAGCACACAGGTGGCAGCACTAGCTGCCACTGACAGCATCAACTTCTTTGTAAACCCAAAATCTAGGAATGTTGACAGTAAGATAAGGCCCTTCCACAAAGCTCAATGACAAAGGGAAATTTCCAGAAATTTATATGTCATTTAACTTAAGCTTTGTGAACAGCACATTCCTGCTCACTGTCCCACCTCAGATCTCATCTTGCAACTCCACCTGTCCATAGGGTTATGTCAGAGTCTCCAGAAAACATGCTCACCTGTCGAAGTGTTGAATGAGGGGGAAGAAGAAGTAGCCAGCCACAGAGTTGAATTCATTGGGGCCACTTGCCAGCTGCCGCCGGGGAAAGCCCTGCCAAACACACATACATATGCACTCAGAGGTCTGAGGCCTCCGCACCCTTTGCAGGTCACCTGAGCCCTAAGCTGCACAGGCCAGGGCTTATGCTGGCTCCCTAACCTTGTCCTCCATGGCCCCGAGTAGAGGGCAGTGGGAATCAGGCTGCTGCAACCAGGAAGCTGCCTGGGGCCTGCAACAGGGAGTCCAGACCCTGTTCATGTAACATTCAGGATGGCTAGTCCTCATGGTAGACTGTCCTGGGCTGTCCTGTGGGATGCTGAGCAGCCTCTTTGCCTCCACCTCACTCCCACAGCCACTCAAACAGTCTCCAGTTATCTCCTGACATCCCAAGATAGGGCAAGACCACCATGGTTGCCGGGTGGGGCAGGACAAGCCTATAACTCCAGCACTCGGGAGGCTAAGGCAGGAGGATTGCCATGGCTATACAGTGAGTTCAAGGCCAGCCTGAACTATACAGCAAGACCCTGTCTGGAAAAAACCATGGTTGAACACCCCTGGCCACCCACCAGATCATCAATTTCTGATCTACCACTCCTGGGATGTTTTCCCTTCCACGCTCATTTTAAACCACACTGGTCTAACTAGCCTGTTTGCACCATAAACTCACTCTCCTTGAAGAATCAACAATAGCACCATCCTAAATTAGGATCCAGCTACTGTCTCAGTGTAGACTTGGCCTGCAGGAATATGACTGCTCATTTGCCACCCCATGTCCCCACACCTGCAACGACCTGACTAGGGTCCCAGCTGACCTTGGAAAACCGCCGGGTCTTGCTTCTGATTCTCTCTTCCACAACCGCTCGCCAGCCAGAACCCACAGTGTGGTCAGGCTGACCAGCAGCCAGGGCTGGCAAGCACGGGCCACCAGAACCATAGGACACCTGCTGGGGATCCCTCTTAAGATGCCCTGGCCGGGATAGCTCCTGGGCGGCCAGTGTCAGGACCTAGAGGAGAGGAAAAACCAGGGCAGTGCCACAGCTCTGAGAATGATCTGAAAAGTTATCAGCCAAGTGACCACAGAACTCCAGGTCAGCAGCAGTGCCCAGCATCCCAGACACTGCCAAGTGTCCCTAAAGCTCTTTGCTCTACTAGGTAAGTGGGCTGGGAGCTCCCTCAAGGTGAGTGCACCTAAAACTCTGCCAGTTCTGCCACCCTGAAGCAGCTCCTCCCTCCCAAGAACTCAACCTCACATAAAAATAAATGAAACCCTGACATATGCTCCATGTGAAAGAACTTAAAAACGTGAGCAAAGGAAACCAGTCACAAAGAGCCACATAGTATATGACTTCATTTATATGAAATATCCAGAACAGGCAAGTCCACAGACAGGAAACAGGATGGTGGATGGCAGGTTGGGGAGACAGAGAGTGATGCTAATGGGGAACTAGACAGAGAAACACCAGAAATGGTGGCGCATGCTTATAATCTCAATGCTTAGGAGGCTGAAGGAAGGAGGATCATGAGTTCAAGGCCAGCCTAGGCTACAAGACTGGCCTGACCTATGAAATAGGACCCTGTCTCAAAAGACAGAAAAAAAAACTAGACAGAGGATTGGTATACAACACTGTCAATGTTCTGACCATCACTGGATTGTTTACTGTGAGATGATACATTCTTGGTGTTTTCTTAGGTGGTAAAACATAAAACTTACCATTTAACCTTTTTTTTTTTTGAGACAGAGTCTCACTATATAGTTGAGGCTGGCTTTGAACGCATGACAATCTTCCTGCCATTCCATGTTGTAATGTATGTCAGACTTTTACTTCCTCCCAAGTGCTGGGATTATAGGCGTGTACCACCATGCTTGGTCATTTGAACCATTCTTCAGCAGACAGCTCA